TCCAATTCATTTTTCACCGGTAATTTAATCCGCTCTTATCTGTGGAATTTTAGGGTACTCACTAACTATTATTAAAATTTTGGAGAATGCAGTTGACTTTTTACAATGATCTGCAAGGCTGACTGTTGTAACAATCTTTGTGACCCAGTAATGAGTAAACAACCCGCTAATTTTCGATGAAGTTCGGTCCAGTGCAGGAGTTAGCAACGGCGTCAGCCAGTGCCCATGTGGGCACCGAAAAACAAGTGCATTTGGGAAAGCTGGGCGGCTGATTAAACAGGGTGACAGGGTAAATATGGGTCGTAAGGGAATAAATTGTATTTGATAAATTTCACAACTCTCTTTACTCACAAATCGAATTCTTGTCCAATAAGTCAGGTACGTAGGCTCTATCCGAGCTTATTCCATAATTTTAGCGGAGGTAGGGGTGACAAGCTCTGAACAGAATACTAGCCAAGAATCTGGACATTTACGTGGAAGGGAAAACCCGTAGTGCGAAGTGACTGTTAAAGCCTGAGCTAGACATCGGCATGGGTGATTTGTTCAGAGCAAATAGTAGATAGATAACAGCCAAGAACCTTGGTAAGATGATTCCAGGACATCGTTTCTGATCTTTTTTCATAATTTCCCTTCAGTGCTTTGCTTCGCATTTTCTTCCGAGAAACATGCATTCACCATAGTGTTCCATGTTCCATAACAGTGATGACCAGCTCATTTTAGGTGCTGTAGCAGAACGAGCCAAATTGAAGTCATACATCTTACTCGGCTGTTTGGTAATCCTCATACAAGTAAGTTTATCTTGTGCGAATGTCTTCAAGTAAACTTCAATTTGAAGGATTCCCATTGTAAATAAACAATTTAGGCGCTCCCGGCACACTGGGTATGGGACAGCGAGGGATTCTTCTTCAAAATGGGTGTCGTGGATTTTGCCGGTTGTTCAGCTGTAAGAACATTACTACGATCTTCTTCATAAAGTATACCGATCCTATTCGAATCGATTTCCTTTTGACCTCTTTTTTCTCCCAGTATCACTCTCGGTTTTCGATGACTACTAGGGTGATGACGAGGGTTCTAAGATTTTTCATCCAACTCACCTGATATCTCACAGAGTAGATGACTGGGTGTTATAGAATCCGTGATGGGAGGGGGGCTTTATTTGGTCGTTCGATAAAGAAGGGTCGTATTGGGAAAGAGGGCAACCGGAATGGAAACTGATGGACAAATTCAAGCGAGTTTATTTCAAAGAATTCCCCTGTGGAGAGCATAGCTTGTATGGTTGCCATCAGTTTGGAATCCAAGTTGACATGGGCCTCCTACTTTGAGAATTTTCGGATATGTATATGGGAGAGAAGCCTTCCCAACACCACAACAAGTCGTGTATAAGAGCTCTTTTAGTTCAGTGATGATGTTTGCATGAAGTTACTTGGTAGACATTTTCAAGGTTTTTGGAACATAGTAAACTTCACCATTTCAACCACTCCATGATTCTAAACGAAAGTCAAGTATATGGCGTATTTTTCAAAGATGAGCTCAGTGCCATACGTTTTGACTACTCATCTTTTTCAGGTACATATGGTCGGCGGAATAATCGGTCTGATCGCCACTGTCTATTTGAAACCTAGAAGGAATCGCTTCAACGAGGANAGTGTGCATCAGATGAGCTCACCAACTAATGCTTTACTTGGTCAGCACTTCTATTTACTTGTTTATCCGTTGTTTACCTTGCTGTTTACTCTGATGCAATCGCAATTCTGCTTTTCTGATAAACTGTTGTACATGCGTGATCAATGTATAATCGGAAATAATTTGAGGTACATTTCTTCTATGGTGGGGATGGTTCGGTATCAACGCCGGCTCAGTATGGGGTATTACTAGCGGCAGATGGAGGCTCGGTGCAAGGTAAGGACTTTCAAACCGTCTTCATTGCAGCAGACTTGTTTTTATCTTTTCATCAACTTATTCCACATTTAATTGTTTATTTGCTTATTTACCCATTTATTTACCGAATCATTTAGGCGTTGTTTACATATTCTTCTCTTCAATCCATAATTTTTTATCTTTCATTCTTTTTGTTATTGTCTATTTATTAATTTATTCGTTTAGCCGATTATATACCTTGATGCACATTTGTTTGTTTATTTATTTGTTCGTTCGTTTATCTATTTATTGTTTTATATATTTACTTTTTCGCCTGACTCTTTACTATTTTTTTACTATTTTTTCATCGACTTATTTATTTTTTCTTTACTTATTCATCTATTGATGTTTTACTGTGCTTATTTATTCACCAATGCATTCACCCTGTTGTTTGTTTACACTTTATTTTTTTTACTTGTCATCTTATTAGTTTCTTCTCTAAAAACTTATACAANAATTATTTATGTGTCTATTCCTTCGATTATTTATTTTGTTCATCATTCATTCAATCATTCCGTTGATTTTTTATTATCGCTCGGCTTTTTTATTTTTCTCAGTGCACATATTTACCTGTTTACTTCTTTGTCTAATTGCTTATGTGTTGACTTATTTATCTATAAGCCTTTTTCAATTTTTTGTTTATTTATCTATTTATAATTATCTATATCTATTTGCCCACTTATTAATTTATCTATTTATCTTGTACAAAAAATACCTATTTATTCGCTTATATTCATTGTTATATTCATATATTGATTGTTGTTGTTTGCTTTTATTTTTGCTTTCCTACTTGTTTGGTTAAGTATTGATTATATTGTGCTTTCCTACTTGTTTGGTTAAGTATTGATTATATTGAATGAGATTCTCTTATTGGTTGATCCTATACTTTTCTTGAGAATAAATAATAGTTTTTTACATGAATTTATTCATTTATTACATTACAATTATCTTATCAATATATAAAGCCAGTCATTCATTTTATTGTTTATTCAATTACTTATTTGTCTATTTATTCAGTTATTTATTTTGTGTTATCACTCGCTCAACTGTCTATACCCGAGTACCTCAACTCTTTATTACAATACAATCAAAATTTGCTTCTATCTCTATTCGTATAATGTATAAACAAAATAAAATTCTCTCCAGTTAGTTCATTGAAGAGAATTCCAGCGTACTAGCAAGAATAAGGTGGTTTCAAAGAAATATAATTCTTTGAATTGGGGAAAACCTCTGAAAATTTTGTTTCAGAGCAGCCGTTGCCACTATAATGAGCTCAATCGGTGGCGGAGTGACGTCGATTGTCATAAGCTTTGCAAAGACGAAGAAACTACAAGTGAATTTTCTGATTAACGGGATTCTCTCCTCCATCGTCTCGATCACTGGTTAGTTAATTTTGAGTGGAGTTGAGGTGTTGCTTGGTAGGCCGCAACTGAAGTGCTGATAGAGCTCATAGGCTGCTTTCATGGTCCGCCGGCCGGCCAGCGAGCCTGCCTGCTGGCGTGCCACGAGGCAGTGCTAGGGGGGAGGAGGGCGGCAGACGGTCGGTCGAAGGGTTGAAAACAAAG